TTGATACGGATCTTGTTACTCAAAACTGGCTTTGCCTCTTTTCAACTCACTGAGACGGGCCAACTCTACCAAATGCAGTCTCCTCTGCTAGGATTGACTGCGGGGGCAGTGTCCAACACATGGCATCACGTGGATTGTATTCATTACTGCCTTGTTTTAGAAGTGACACTTGTGAATTTAGAAGCCTGTGTTATCGATGTGATTGTACAGTGCTGACCGGATACGAATAACACACTGTTAACGATCAACTGTTTTGGGTGCGATCTATGGTATGATGGGATAGACTTTATGAATGAACCGGACAGTCTTCACTAAAAATCTTTAGTTAATTTTTAAGGACCATCGGTCCAGTCTATCGAAGGTAGCGATGAAAATTCCACATTGTTCCTTAATCACGTTTGCACTATGCCTACAGCTACCTGAAAATATGACAATGACTGTAAACCTCTGACATCCACAGAGGTATTTGCATTGGTACTTCCTTGCTGTAAAATGTCTTATTTCCCTCTCTTTGAAAAAAGTTTGTGGAACTCAGGCTCTGCATCATTGGCTCTTTACGCGACGGAGTTGTGGGAAAATTTTGATGGTCATTTCTTATGCGAGGAGGGGGAAGGCGTGAAAGAAATGATGCATTCGCTGTCAAGCGGGGGAATTTCGTTACGCTGATAGTCCGGTGTCGTGAGGGGAGTTCAAAGCCCCCTTTTAGGAGGCCCAGTGGAAATGAACCCTCACTCTGTCGCCCTAGAAAAATGAAAACAACAAGGCGCCTAAAATTGCTCCCCTTGTAGCTGGTAATTGACAGGCTATGTGACTTCATTCCAGGTGCATGGTGAAGGCATGCTATTTCCCACTTAACTACCCTTCTGCCCACCCTTCTGTTAGGGGTATTGAATGGTTTGGGGGGTGTGTGACCACAATTACACGGTCATGTTTACCTACTTAATAGTGCAGCCATTTTGCAACCTTGCTTTTCTCTCCGTTTGTTCGTCCGTCCGTCCGCCCATTAATCGCACGAGTGGATGCTGGCAGTTCCATCACTCAGTCCACCTGTTAAAGTTCGATTTCCCATGTTAAGCAATAATAATGTTGACCTTTCAGAACGTCAGAATTTCCTCGAAAATCTCGAATTTAAGCCAGGAGGTCGTCGCTACACCTAAAATTATTGAGAAGCTAATTATTTAAGTTGACGCAATGCTTTGATGCCGTATCAAAAGGAATTGTTTGAAGTACTCGTACCATCAGCAACATACTGACATGATGTCTTCAACCGTCACTGAGCGGTTTATACATTCATCCGTACTGGGAGTTCTAAACACTTTTTCCCCATTACTCTACAAACAACAGCTGTTTCCTGTTGTGTGTTAACCTAAATTAGTAGGTTTACAAGCTATAAATCAAAAGGATTGACTCTACCAACAGCATCACAAGTATGTGACACGTGTCCTTTTCAGTTTGAGATTAAAAACTTCCTCTAATCGCATTCGGAGCGTAGCAGTCGAGTTTTAAGACAATAAAATGCTTGTGTGTAGGTCAACACCTGTCCAGTCCTACCAGTAAACCCGAAAGTTCTACTGAGGGAACAGCTGGCATCCAACAGGCACTCCATTCAACGGATGTTATGTCGTATCCGCTCCCTTGCTAATTCAAATAAACCGTTATCTTGCCTTTGGACTCTTATACCTTCAGCTGCATGATGATGTCTGAATTAGGAATAAAATTCATTCACCCTTTACTACCCCTTTTAAGGAAAACGAAGAATGTTGGTACAGATGTTCCGATTATGCCCATCAGTGGTGCTTATGGCTCCTGTCAGGGTACCTAAACCATCCTTCTTGCCTAAAATGTCATTCATAATTTGTTCGCTACCTAGCAGTCGCAGATACATGTCTCATTGATTGACAGCTTCGAAGCCTATTAAAGGAGATGTTGCATCCACTTGCTTGAAATCTTCACTGTTCCCTTACAGGCCTATTAGTCGTATCGCATGTGATAGCGGCCTCCTTTGGAAGTGCAAATTCTATGGGAACAAGAAGTGGCTAAGGTTGAAGGTTCGCCACGATTGAAGAGAGTGGAGATAGATAGGACGACTCTTTTGAAAGGATGAGGTGCAAAAGACAGTTGAGCTTAAGAGGCAGTCCGACTTCCTTGTATTGATCTTGAAGGAAATCGGGAGGGTTGTTTGGCCGGACCGCCCTCATTTTATGCTAACGTCCGGATATTAGAGAAACATCAGGTGGTCAAGCATGTCTCTGAAGAATTTGAAGTAGGTCGATAACCCGAGGCTCATGAATAACGAAATTGTTTCGAGATTGGTCACATCATAAAAATCTGGTTTAATTTGCTTGTAAACGGTTAAAATTTTTGAGAGAGTCTATTGGTATCAGACGGAAAACCACTCACTACTTCTTCGGACAAAGCTATTTTCTTCTTTCACCACGGGGAGGAAAGGTGTTGGTGCATTCCCATCCATTCAATCTTTGGGTGATAGTCTTCCTATTGTATAAAACCACCTTTCTTAGAAATGTTCCAACGGGTATTCAAGTAGCATAGAGAAAGTTGAAAGAGATGTTTTCTAAGGGTTTTTGTCAATGCAATAAAAGGTGGTGACAAGCCATTTTGTTCAACCATTCATTCAAGTCTCTCTATTGTCCTAGGCGTGGAGATGCGGAAGGTAGAGCCACAAATGTTCTGGCAGTCATGCTCCTTAATTTCTGCAACTACCCTGGTACTGTGGTTTGTAAGACGTTAATAACATTCATGGGACATTCAAACAAACTGATCGCCGACCACAGCAGCATATTTTCTTGTTTGCTTAACTAGCAGACACAAAATAAGATTATGTTTATTTGGAGCATTGCCAACAGGCTTTAATCGCGGGATTTTGTTAACCATGAATAAAATTGCTTGCGATTGAATGTTGTTTGACCATCGGATTCGCAGTAACAGTGGAAAATTATGCTAGCAAGCAAAAAGTCGATCCATTTGACAAAATTTTGAATGCCTTTGACCGATCCACACTGCAGCATGATCCACATCGCTGACTATTGGCACCTTTTATTTGGCTGGTGCGAGTAAAATATACAAAAATGGAAATGGAAAGCAGACAAACCACGAAGTTCAAAATAAATTAGGAGAGCTATCAGGTGAGTTTTAAATTTTAGTCATGTTGTTTTTTTGCATAAAGTTTACCAAGCCAGATTGCTCGACGTTATGGGAAGTAATTTGTTAGAAATTTCTTTTATGTCGATTAATAAAGAGACAATATTCAGCAGTCAAATTGCTTTGCATAAAAATTTATGCGGTCGGAAAGAAACGACCTCATTTAATTGAGAAAATGCACGAACGTCACTTGCTCTGACAATCATGTAGCACCTCAGTTCAATATTTAATAATTTGAAGCGCCTTAAATTTGGTAATTCGTGAAGGAAATAGCTAAAAATCATTGATCGTTTAATTTCATGCAAACTTTTCTACCTGACCCCCTGCTTTTCCTCATACTACACCGAGTTGCATTGTCAATCACTGAGGCAGCGAAAAATCTCATTCCAGCTGCACCGCTGTCATTGTTTTTCACGTGATTCTGCAGGAAGCCACGCTGTTTGGTTTATTTTATCTCAAAAATGGACAGCCATATATCTCTTCATATTATCTACCCTTCCTTAATTGGTCAATGCATCTATGTGAGTCACACAGTCACTTGGCTTAGTAATCCGACCTGCGTTTTTGAACAAAAAGTGAAGACATGTGACTCTATCTTCACATTTCGGGATAACTCATTCCTCCATCAAGAACTCGAGCAGCTGCTTTCATGTAACATCACTTAATCCTCAGCCTTTTCGAGAAACTGAACTTAATGCTTTTCTGTTAAAAATTCTTTCGCCTTGCGGAATTCAAAGCTGACTGGCACTGGTGGAAGATTTTAAAAAATGAACGAAAAAGTGCCAAAAGTGTAATTGATCATGACATTATCCCACTCAAATATTCTAACAATAAACAATTGTGATATTAACGGCGCAGCTGTTTTGCCACTCGCATTTCTGCCCAAGGGCACCAGAAGGAACACCTCCAAACTCGCCCTTGCAATCACAAAATCTAAAAGTGGTACGCATTGTAGTAAACATTCTGGAGGTAGAAACACGATGCGTACGGAGATGACTAATTGGTTGCTGACCCTAAGGGCACGCAGTTGTACACACAAACTGTGACCTGTGTAGTCCCCTTTTACTGTGTGTGTGAGTTCTGCATGCTCCAGCACGCATTTGGATATCCAAGTTTGGTTTACTGAGGTTGGGTAAAAGTTTGATTATTCCAAACCTCACTTTTTTTTCCTTCGAGAAGGCAAGTAAACACCACATGTAAACAGCTAACGCGAGTGTGGGAACGGGAACGGACCAGTGCTTGAGATTGATATCCTAGAGAAGCGAAAGCTATAGCCAGTTGGGCAACTTATTTAAGCAGAAAACATTCATTCGCTCTTAACTTTTGTGGCAAAAAACAACATCCAAAATCAGTGGTGTAGAATTATGTGACATCATAAGTGGAAGCAAACAGCCTACTTCTGATACCAGATATCATATTACACCAAAGCACTTTGAGTCAAATGCACATGCATGCATATGCGGTCAATATTCACCCAGTTCTGTGTCGAAGATCAGAAACCGAGTCCTCTTCTCAGGGCTGAAGTCATAGAGACACAAGTTTTCACCAAACCTTCATTCTACCGTCGGGAGCACAAAGCACGCTTGACGCCCAAGAACAGTTGTCCCTTCTAGGAAAAGGCTAATCGGTGATGATTGGCCAAGAGGAGAACAGCTGTCGGACTGTACGTGTTCACACAGGCCTGTGAGATGAACGGTGACCAGAGGCCAATCAAATCCACGATTAAGGGCGCACGCGCGCACCTGCGTCTGTGCGTCCATGTGTGCAGGTTTGGATGATGACACAAGCGACACCCATTTAGTGTCATTTGGACCGCTCTGCCGGGTGTCATGGCGTTTGCAATGTACTTTATTGTTGCGACCCTCTTTCCCGCCATGGATCAGGCTATCAAGAGGAATGAGGTTGTCATGACTGCTTCGGAAGGCGTGGAAGTAGGTTCCACTATCGGAACGCTTTCTTCTCATAGTGGTGGGCGGGAGTCGTCTTATCTCGGTATGGTCGATGGAGATGCTCTATTCAACATCGAAAAGGACGGGAAGGTGGTTGTAGCGAGACCTATCGATCTGGAGTCTTTGTGTCATGAAAGGGAGGTCTGTTGCACTTATTCCAGGCCCTGTCAAATTTACTACACCGTCATGGTAGAGGATCCACGCTCGGAGGAGATGAGAGAAATCAACCTGCGAATTCGAATCATGGATGTCAATGACCATGTTCCGCGCTTTCGTCATCCGAACGGACAGGTTGTTAAGGTCCCTGAAAACGCTCCGATCGGCACTTCAATCGATATTGATCGCGCAGTTGATGGTGATTGGTCGCTGGAGAACCAGATTCAACGATACGCACTCCATGGCTCGGATATCCAACGCTACTTCGAAATTGACAATTCTAATCTGCTGAATATCCAGTTAAAATTGCGCGAGCAACTGGATTACGAGAAGCAGTCGGTCTTCAAGGGAACTCTTGAAGCCTGTGATCGACATAACTGCACTACTTCTCCTTTGACAATTAACGTAATTGATGTTAATGACAACTTTCCATTCTTCCATCCCCCCTTGGAACATAACCTAACTCTTCCCGAAGACACACCAAGTGGAAGAGTTATTCTGCAGCTCAATGCGACAGATTATGACTCACCACCGAATGCTCGAATGCGTTTTGAGTTCTTAGGTGCTGAGGATCCCTCCATTTTGTCAACCTTTCATTTGGACCCACTCACGGGAGCCATTTCCCTAGCTCGCAGACTTCAGGCTGATGTTCGATTGAACTATCATTTCAAAGTTCGTGTGAAAGAAGCACTCGACTCTGCGCCAGTCGGAGCTTACGAAAAACCCTTCCTTTTCAACGACCTTCAACGCCAAGACACGGTCAGCGTCAACGTTCGAGTAGAGGACATCAATGACTTTGCTCCAGATATTCGGATGGTTATTCCGCCCGAGGGTTCAGAGGTTTGGATTCTTGAAAACTCGTCTCCTAGCAGGATTGTCACTCTGAAGGTTGAGGACAGGGACTTGGGCGACAATGGTCGTGTCACTTGTAGTCTGGACGGTTCTAGCGAAAGTTTTGAGCTTCGGCAACTTGTTCCTTCCATCTACGCCCTTCACAGCCGACGCAGTTTCGATGCGGAAGCTGAGCCAATCGTATTTGTCAACATAACCTGTTCAGATAGAGGCACTCCAAGACCAAAGAGTACACAAAAACAAATTGTTGTTCGAATTGACGACGAAAATGAGTTTGAACCAGTGTTCATGAAGAAAGAGTACTCTGCCAAAATTACTGAAAATGCTCCGAACAACACTTTTGTTCTCCAGGTACGTGTGCTTGTGTTCTCTGTGCCACGTGATCATTAAGTCTTGCATGGGAGTGTTCAGGATTATATCTGCATGTCTCATAGGCTGGATATGAGCATATTCACCCATTGGTCATAGGGTTTTTTGGTCTATCCTCTCAGTTGCTGCTGTTACGTGGGTATCAGGATTGTCAATTAGGCCACTTCAGTTCCTTTTGCATCTACAGTTAATAAAAGGTGGCACTAGCCTGTGTTATCTTCATGCTGATAGGTGTGAGTCATTGTCTGGTTCGTTTGTCCTCTCCCCTTGTCTGGCTGGACTCTGGAGGGAGGGTCGCGCCACTGACTCGATTTGACATCACCGTCTCCCTGCTTGCCTTCGAATCATTGACACTTTAACATGTGGGCACTATTTCATCATCACCGAATGCATCGTGCAGCCCATCCCCACCCACGATACGCACGGAGAGTAGACATTTGCCACCTCAGTTCGGGGGAGCGGTCTGTGAGAGTATCATAGTCTCCCATTTCAATCCTCCTCTCCTGGTTTCCTGCTTTGGATAATGCATTGATTCTTCATCACCCCTTACCGGTATTCGTGATTTTCACGTTACTTCCGTGTTTCCATGCTTGAGTAAACTGCCCTCTCCTTAATATTTTGATCTACCATACCCCCAATTTGTATGCATCAATTACGGTTACTGCTGCGGTTGTTTAAGCGTGGTCACGCTGGTTCATAGAGCAAATACTAAGCACCTGTGTCTTACGGACCCCTCCGCTTCCATTTCTCATCGAATTTGCAGCCAACCGCCTACCTCTGCGTTCTAATGTAGTTGTTGGGGTAAGGGATTATCCTTATTTCCAGCATGTCGGCAAGCGCCCACGGTCATAGACTTCATTACAAGTCTGTGGACTAGTGGCTTAGGCCCATATAATTAGCGTGGAAGTTGAATTACAGGGCTGCTAAAAAGACCTACACAGTCGGGTGTTTCGTTCCAGTTAGGGAGAGAGAAGGAATTAAGACCTGTTCTATAGCATCTAATGGGTTGAGTCGATGTGTTTGCGTGTGGTCGACGTTTAGAACTGAAATATTAGTCGGGGTGGAGTAGTGTTGGCAGCTCAAACTCGAACTACTGTCTGCTACGTGCATTCGTCGTGGTAGGGGCAGCGAAAGTAGGTGTTTGGGTGGGCCATTAAGGCTTCACCCTTCCCCTCTCCAGTTGAAAATGATCCCCACGTCCGATATGCGCCCTTAAGGCTTCTTTTGAAGATACCGTGGTTCCAACTTTACAGTCAATTTTTTCCCAAAATGAAAAGTTTGAGCAGGAAGATTTAAGAATGTGAATCCCATACACTCTAAATGTCACATTTTAAAATGATAGACTCCCTTGTTTGCGGTAAGTGCGCACTTGCGATGATGAACGTGGGGTCCATCTCCCAATGTTGGAGACGATTTTCTCCCTTCAAAACAGAGGTGTTTATTTCGGTACCCCATTATACCGCTTGCAGATGGTCTCTGTCATCCACTGCACTGGTTTTCGGACACAAACGGTGGTTTTTTTCCCGTGAACCGTCAATCTCAAATGCGCAGATGTTCGTTCGCCCAAACTCGTAAAACGTCTCGTACAGTGCTTGGGGTAAACACAAACACCAGCCGTCATCATCACCGTTGGTTGTGTAAACATTGAGGTCGTCTCTATTGGGAGCTACTGACGTTGGTGACGTCCTGCATCTCACGTTTACCCGCATTTTCCGGCTCACTGGTTCGGATAAAGATACCGGGCTAAATGGCGCCAGTGATAGCATCAATTCGAACAACTACGTAGCTGCTAATTAAACCAATGAATGGGAAGTTTGCTGCCTTATCCCTCTTGGCTAGTCGATTAAATAGGGGCTCATTAGAACCGGGCAGTTTGTGAGTTGTTGGTTCGTAAGGTGTATCGAGCCCTGTTTTTGTTCTTCGCGCCTTAATCGTCGTCAATGTACTGAGATGAACTGGAAATGGCGATGATACGTGGGTGAGGACCATGTGTAGGTGAGCCAACCTTGTTGTTCAACTAATGGCGGTGAAGCTTGGTAAATTTGATGGGATGTTTGCTGATGATATATGTCAAGGCTCTATTTGATAGGCACAGCTAAAATCTTATTGAAATTTCGAGTGCTAGGTTATTTCTTGTCATCAGAAAAAAGCCATACAAAAACTATCGAAAGTTGTGATCTGTAATTTGAAACTCTCATTTGAGGTTCTTTTCTGCTCTCAACCATCTCGAGCTGTACTTCGATTATGCCATCAACTGTTGATGTAGCTTCCACAATTCATTAATTTCCCTCTCGCAGTTGCTTCTCTCATTTCATACGGTCCCGAAGTCGCCATTCCGCGAGTCAAACTTTTCTCCTATGGTATTGACTATTTTTCGAAGGGATTTCACTTTATCATAATCTTGCTTTACGGGGTGCTAATTTGTCTACCATAGATTGCCCTTGGGAATGCCCTGTGAATGATAAAAACAGCAAAAGAATGTCCTGCAGCATTTGACTTGAAGGTTACGGGATCGTCTTCATGTTTGCTTTTAGGTTATTGCGCGAGATGGGGACCAATCGGCTCAACTTGAGTACAGTTTGAAGGGCGACGGGGATCGCTACTTCAAGATCGATCCAGGCACAGGGAAAATAACAACTATGGAACACGAAATGTCTCAAATGGGTCGACTTGATCGTGAAATGACACCTGAAGTGACGTTCTTCGTTCTCGTCAAAGATGCTAAACCCAACAGACCGGTGGGTAGAGATGATGGTCATAAAGGTCCCGGAGTGATTCATACCGCGCAGACGACTGTCACAGTGGAACTGATCGACGAGAATGACAATGCACCCTCCTTTACAGATATTGGTCCCTTCCATCTGCCAGAAAATCATCCCAAACACTCGAAAGTTAATGGGCATCTACATGCTGAAGATCCAGATCAGGGACTCAATGGCAAGGTGAGTGGAATGCTGTCTGGTCGGATTGGATTTTCTTGTTACAAGTTCACATTAGATTCACGCACAGGTAGGTAGGCAGGACACGTAGCAGCATAATTTGCAATGCATATTAGTCTTACCCTCGCTCCCTCCATGTCTCACTCCTTAGACGACTGCTGGTACTGCTTCCGAAGTCGAGTGTTTTAGCTTGCTAGTGGGGAGGCCACCAAAAAAATTCACATGCGAAAAATTAGCATTTCACGACCAGAGAGAAGTGAATGTAAAAGGAGAAGTTGGTTTTCGTGTTTGCTGCATGGAGATGAGCCGTTATGGCATCTTGTGTGGCTGTAGACACGGAGACGAACATTCATTCGTCTGGTTTGCTACCACTGGACCTCCCATAAGTCAACGAAACACGAAGACATTAGAGCTTATAGTCAGGAGAAAATATGTTTTCTGTGGTTCTGCAACGGTTTTTTTCTGGGACAAGGGACAACATTTAAGTGTTTTCCTTTTTAACGAATAGTTGACAATTTGCCCTCTTCCACTCCATTTTTCCGTGTCCTTACTCTCAAGGAACTAGGGGATTTAGAGAGGACGGAAAAAATTTTAAAATGGGAAGTAAACTAGTGTTGGTCGGTACCAGTATGTGATAGGGCCAGAAACACTGGTTCTCTGTCTGGCATAAGTGCAAGTCTTTGTCCGTCTTTACCGCTGACACTACTGATCTAGACACTTGGCCAGGTTTAAGTATTTACGTTGAATCCCCTTCTGTCGTATCTATCCAACCTTAATCCTCAAGTTTAACTTGGGATGTTACGAAGGTTAGTAAGTATAAAATAAAAGAATCGACGAGTAGCTTTCTTACAAACCGGTAGTAGCATGTGACATCACCTTCACTGAGTTCGACTCGGTCATTCCAAAATCCTTTTTAATGTATGTGGGGATTAGTAAGGGTGATAGGGGAGAGAGGCGAAACAAGGCCTGTTGCAACTAGGCTGACACGACAGTCCATGTCTGACCTCGATGCGGGGACAGGTTTGTGACTCCACCGATGTTTCTGCCATCATCGCAACGCCGATGTGTGTTCAAATGATGCGATGTCCAACTTGTCCGAAATTCCGACCACGTCAAGTCCATTTGCCACGTTGAGTTGTGGCTACATATTGACTAAAGTTGGCGCAAGTAAGCATTACATTATGTGATTTCCCTCAGAATGGAACGGAATGTGTTCCGGGTCTTTTCCAATGGAATGGTGTGGAATGGGGTCGGAGAAAATGCTGCCTCTTCGTAGCAATTTGTCCCCTGTAGTCTATTCTAATCTACACCGACACTTCTACATTCTACGTCCCCTTAGATCAGTCTGCTACTGGATGGCTTTCGTCATTTGAATCCAATGCGGGATTTAGCGAAATCAGTTTTAGTACTGTTCCCAAGATGTCTTTGATCCAAAGGATGAGGTTTGTCTCTTCCATTTACCAGGATAAAAGGTTTTCTGCCACTTATCCTCGATGGTTGCAAAAAGCAGATCTGATACTTCAATAACTCTCTTTGTGTGCCGTTAAGGTCAGGTGCCGTCCCCCTCCCCCCTTTCCTGCGAAGAATTGAGGAATCCAGTTGCCACCAGTGGACCTTCTTTCCTTCCGTAGGGTGGAACAGAAGAGCTAGTGAGTCGGTGGTAGAAATCACGAGATGCGTGTACGCTAAATGCACGATTGCAGGGAATGTAATGCTGTCATGGTCTAATGAGCAGTCTCGAGGCGCCATTCCACTGGACCCCGATAATTAATGATTGTGATATCACCCCCTTCTGTCACCCTCTCCCTAATCGGTGGGAGCTATGGGCAAGTGATTAATGAACTATCTTATCTCAAACAGCTGTCTTCTACGAATTTAAATGTCCGACAATTTGAGCCCTGCGTTCCTGCTCTCGTCCGTCTTGTGTAACTGAAACGCTTGATTTTAGCCAAAAATTTATGGCTGTCCTTTTCTGTTCGATAGGTAAATGAAGAAGAATCAGATGGTCGGAAAAGTTTCTGTGGCCATCGGCATATTTCGCTACATTGACTCACTGCAACCTGAAGGTTACAATGTGAGAGGGCCTCCGTTTATTTTTTTCCTGAATGATGGGGTAACATGCATGCTTGCGTCTGTTGAGAAGTTGTAGAGCCTTTGCGATTGGGTGCTACATGGATTAACAGATGGTAATAAGTTATTACGGTACAGCACTTAGTCCCCTGTTTCGTGTGCTTTATAAAGGCGCGCGGCTTGTTTACTGGGTTACTTGTGACGGAGTAGAAAAGCTTTTGCGTCTCAATGTTGATTAAATGAACTGCATAACTATCCGAGAGCACGACTTCCCGTATAGGAGATTACGTTTCATGCGTTTAAATGGTGGTCTCCAAACGGGATCTTCCGTTACATGGCGCTATACAAAGCGAACCTCCTCAAAGGGTAGTTGAGCCTCGTTACACGAAGTTGAAGAGGGCGCCGCTCCTCCCTTTCCAAAGCGATGCGGAATCACATACTGCAAAACTCATCTGTAGAAAGGGGTTAAAGACCTCTCTCCTGCTACAGGCTCCATTCTTTTCACTACTAGAACCTCGACTATGTTCACGCATCGGACATGAGGGTAGAGGGAGTTGCGATTAGGTTGAATATCTCTGTACCAGACCGGCTTGTTTCTAGCAGTAAAGTGATAGTTTTGTAACACCAGTCCCAAAAAATAGGCGTTTTGGGATTATTTTTCAAAATTAATGCAGGAACCTGTTTGGATGTCTCTTGACAGCTGAATGACCATGTATTATGTTCATTTCTCCATTACATGACGAAAATCGAGCGACTATACCGAAATTCGAATTCAAGTGCTCCACCTTTCAGACAGCCTGGGTTCATTCTCAACTTAATGCAAGGTTACTACTAAAAGTTGCTATTGTTAGCCTTGCATTTGACTTTGTTCGTGTTTCACGGCTTAGTGAATGAACCAAAATGGAATGAACTTTCTAGGCCACCAAGTGAGTGGCTTTGCATTGGGTCAACATAGATAGTACTGGTTCGCATCACAATAAAATACACCCATGATACGGTAGTTAATTTTCACGCTATGCGGTGTAAACAAACCTGGTTTCTTTCTCTGCCGCAAACTATTTACCTGCCTTGGTTTTTGTCCGTGGCATCTCGCATTAATTGACTACATTTGGTGGAACGACTCAAAACACCAAAGTTGACGACTTGCGATAGCAGGGAGGGGTGGCGTTTGGCCGCGTTTTTCGTGAGAAGAGGGTTAGTCATATGTGAGACAGACGTGGGCAGAAACCTAAAGCGGATAAGTTGAAAGTGTCCGAGGAAATGGCCTGAACGACGCGGGATAGGTGTGGTTAATATTTCAATTGTTTCCAGCAAACCAATCGAATAGTCACGCAGGTGAGCGTCAAATGATGCCTTCTGAGTTCCCTTTGCCACCGTACTCTGTGGTGCTGATATAATTCCAAATGACTGCAGCACATCGGAGCTTCACACCTGTCTCTCTAGCGGCACATTCGTGGCGTAAACATGTGCATACACAATCACATCCATTATCGCCAGCGTCAATCGCTTTTTAATTGGAGAATGCTTCTCCCTCGTGACATCAGTTGACCATACCTGATTTTTAGGCTTGGCAACTAAGCTGTAATGGTCTTAGCTCCCCTATCCGCCCACCAACTGAGCAATGAATGGCTATAAAATATCGACATTCGTGGCTGAGATTTTATGTCTTTGCAATTTATGTTGATTTTAAGGCTTGATAGTTTGTTCACGAGTTCCTTTTCAGGTGAAATATGGGCTTCAAGATGTGTGGGACTCATCGAACCACGTGAGAAAACACAACCTCTTTCAACTAGATGAAACTACCGGAGTTTTGAGAGCTCTGGAACCACTGGATCGCGAGCAGACAAATGAGTACACACTCCGTGTGGTAGCCTGCGATATGGCACCTCGCGACACCCGTTGCACTAGTGTCAATGTCACGGTGTCTGTGGGAGATGTTAATGACAACGCCCCAGAATGGCTCTTCCCGGTTGTCAGTGATGAAGCTTCTGCGGACTCCGCAGAATGCGTCAATATTACAACAGATGCTGTAGCTGGGCAGGTAGTGGCCCAGCTAGTAGCTCATGATAGGGACGCTGGTCAGAATGGAAAAGTTCGTTATGCTCTTCACGACCCTCATAGTCAGGTGGCATTTTCGGTTAATGCTACGACGGGTCAAGTCACCGTTGCCAATCGGTACTATACCGGATTGACAGAATCCAGTTTATCTCAACAGCAACAGCAGCAGACGCTACAACCGGGCGTCCATCGTCTTAGAATTCGAGCTTCAGATATGGGACAGCCTCCCCAATTCTCCGACACTTGGCTCACGGTTGGTTATTATTATAAGCAACTAAAAAGGTCTCACCAAGTCGTCTACATGAATGAGCTTTTGTCTTGTTCAGATTCGCGTCGTGGGGGCAAGTTCAAGTTTCTTCAGCCTACAAACCGGTTTACTGGTTCTTCTGGTCCTTGTGACTCTTATAATTGCGGTCAGTTTGATCGTTGCCATTGTTTGCATTCGCAGACAGCATTCCGCAAACTGCAAATCACGTCAACAGATCGTTCCAACACCATCTCATGCAGCCAGTTACATTCTTCCAGCAACTCATCCTCATTCGGACTATCCCACCTTCCTGAAACAGACTGGCAGTGGACCCGCCTATATGCTAGCAAAGACAACTGCAGGAAGTATCTGTTCCAGCGATCACTGTGAAGGCAGTGGTGGTGGAAATTGCCCAATCACTGATCTGGGAGTTACGGAGTTCTATGCTCCCTACGGTCTTTCAACAAGTGGTACTCAAGGTGACGATCAAGTGAGATTTGTTGAGGTCGATCCTACCGCAATGACTGGAAGTCCAGCAGCATATTTATCTTTTGCTCGAAGCGAAGTTGGGTCGAGTGCCTCACCAGGAGTGAGACTGGTTAGCACCTACCATCCTGTGGCATATAACACCTGTGATTCCATCAGTCCTCTACCCGCCATATCTTCAGGGACTCCTGCCCCCGCACAGTCAGCTCAGGGCATGCTCAAATTCAGACAGGTGAGTTGAGGATCGGGGCGTTTGACGAATGGTTCGACCTATCCACTTCCTTCCAGGAAGCTTCGTTACACAAATGGGAATGTTCCTCACGAATGTCTAAGGGAATTGAATTCGACTTCTTCCAAGATTAGGAGGCACAATAAGATTGAGACTAAAATTTTTTGAATCAACAGGCGCAAACCTTGTTAAGCTATGATCAAGCAATATCGGGACCTCTAGGCTGCCTTACAAACAAAAGGCGTGGATTTATTCGTCGATGAGTTAGGAGTCGTCAGACTACTCTAGTGTTTATTTGGTCTTAAAAAGGATTTATTTGAAGCTGGTGTCCTAGACGACGGTAAATATGCGTTCACTACCCAATAAAATTCGGTTTCTATTCTAACTGCCGCTTTTATTAATATCAAAAGCGAAGAAACAAGCTTTTAGGCCTTATTCTAAAATGATTGTTTGTATCCCAGCTGGAGTGCCAATAGCTTTCCTAACACTGCAAGCGACCTAAATGGCTCCCTGAGTAGTTCCTTTTTAAATTGAATAAATGCAATAAAAACAAGACCATGAAAAGGCACCGATGACACTCCCGAATCATACTAACTGTACGATGAGGGGGACCAACTTTTGGGGTTCACCTCAATAGTCGAACCCACCGTTTTACTTTTATCCGTTCCTTCAAGCTTCGATCATTCCAAGACTATGAAATTAGAAATGTTTTGGTGCCATTCTGGATGGCTGTTAATCCAGTTCCCGTGAAAAGCGATATCAGACATTGTTTAATCTGCACTCTTAGTTCCGGAAGTCGGTAGAACCCCTACGGCTGCACATATGGAAGAGGAGGCGAAGAGAGGGCTGCGGCGACGCCTAGACATCTTACCCACCCCTTCTCTTTGTGTGGGCTCATAGAATTTTAAGCTCAATCGTCCGGTGGACAGGCTATTTTCACTAGTGATTTGTGGTTGCAATCGCCTAGTCTCGACTAACGAATCACCCTTACTCCTGCATCCGGATGATAAACGACTCTAGCTCTTACTCCTGTGACGAAGGGCTTGAAGTCCGATTAGCTGCTTCGTATTCACTTGGTGATAGTTACTTTCGTCTACTGAGACATTTCAAATTTTATCCTTCCGGAATGCGTCAGCAGCCTAAAGCTTACCTTTACCCATGTACTAATCATCCTTATGTGCAAACTCTACCGTGCCTACGTTGGGTGTGATTAATCCCCTTCCATTTCTGCTAGCAGGAACTCATTTGCCGTCGTTAAGGCCTCAGAGACCAATTTTCCAAATTCTGGTTCACAAACACAATTCGTCCTATCGTGTTGAATAGCATTACCGTTATGTTGGTCAGGAACAGTAGACTGTTGGGAGTCAATCGAATATGGAAGAGAAATTGCTATTAATATAGGATTTCAGAGATCTGAGGTAATTGCGAACGTTCTATTACGTGTGGTTCCTTCGCGCTCCCCGTAGAAGTAGGACTTGAGCCTGAAACCAAGTATTTTAGCTCACTGTCGCTTTCTCATCTTTGTCAGTTTCCTTGGTCCGTTAGTAGGAATCCATTCGCTCATCACTAGACCACGGCCTTCGGCAGGGCTATGTTAGGAGGAGAGGGGGTGCAACGAGATCAGTCACCCCTCTTCTCCCTCTAAAATACACGCATCTAAATGTTCGCCATCTTTCCTTTCCTCTCCCCCCGTGCACGAATGTGAAACGAAGCAGAATAATGTCTCCACACTCACCGTCAACCGTAGTGTTTTTCGGCCCCCACTTCAGAAAGTTCACCCATCTCTCTGTGTAGCGCCACATCACAACTGGACTTGACGGTACACCTGGGCGGACCTGGGAGCTCTTGCTGACCTTTATTGGTTGGTTGGACATAACGCACACTAAGCCTCTCAAATCCTGTGGGAATGGTGGTGGCACTGTTGGTTTTTTGGAAGTTGGGGTACGAACTTTTACCAATGGTGTTGGTGAGCTGGTTCGCACGATAGTTTTTTCGCAAAAAAAATATAAAAAATTCGAGATTTTATCATTTTTTAGAAGAATGAACTCTTTGAAATTTGGTACGCAACTTTATGAAGAGCTCCGTTATGTGCTTTAATAATATCGGTTGGTTAAAAAACGTGCCTATGGTTTTTCTTATGAAGTCAATGCGATCGACTTAACCAGCTCCTTTTCAGTCTTCCACTTAAAATGTAGCATTTCAGTACAAGTTTCGATGGTTTGGATGGAAGTCAACAACATCGGATCTATCAAGCGCAGTACGGTGGAAATTTCCTCGTCAGACGTTTAAGCACTGAAAGTTTAACTGTTTTTTGAGCTCATTCTCCATGATGAGAGGCACTTCCTTCCTCAAGATCACCTTCACAAATCAAGACGATTATAGCAATGTAGAAATCAGTAAGATCGAGACAATTGCCAAACGTTGAACTGAATTTGGCTCATCCACACATTCGAGGATTCATATTGAGCCACCGTTCTTTCCTTTTCCTTCGGATTCACAAATGTTTTTCAGCTAGCCAGTCATGATGCCTGTTTATTTTAAACACTGCCATAACTGAACTGGACACAATTCTACGGATTTGTCGATTGTTTTTATTTTGCTCTTCATACAGACATCAGGCTCTCCGGAATTCCTCACTTCTGGTCGGGGCAATACCGAAGAAGTTTTTGAACTTTCAGAGACTTCAGGAGGCCGGTACGCGGTTCCTGGCCATGTGCACTCCTCCCACCACCACCCCCTTGCCTCCTCTGAACAGTTTGAAGGTGGTTCCGCAGATTCTGGCAGGGGTGTGAGTGAGGATGAACCTCCATCGGCTCACATTATCCATTGTAATGGAAGTTCTGACTGCCTCCCGCTTTCCAATACATCAACACTCTTTTGTCAGAATCTTGGAGCTCTGCATAGGCCTTCCACTTTCCTTGGAAACGGTGGTGGCGGGGTTGGCCTACAGGAGGAACGTGGTCATCCTACAGGTTTGTTGACGTTTTGTTTCAGTCATTTTTCCTTGGATTTGCCCGTGGGCTTAGTTGAGATGGTATTGCTTTGGGGTAATGTAGGAACTATTGAGGGGTGGAAGGAATAAATATTCTTTATGTGTGATTTTGTTAACCGAAACAAATCTTCTAGCAGATCGATGTGGGATTTGTCGTGCTGGTGAGCATTTTTTTAAAGGCGAAAAGAAAGCAATATCCAAATTCAGGAGAGTTTGTATTGATAGTTGGATGAAAACCAAGCAGCTCTGAAAGCAATAAAAAGGACAGAACGTGTCTCTATGGTTGCACACCATAAATCCTCAGGTTTATGGAACACACCGTTCCTTATCCAGATGTTAATATGAAATTGACCATTTTTTCTGTCTGGACAAAGTGATACAGCTTAAAAGTTAGGGACTGACAAAGTGTCTAAACATTCTTTTGTCTTTCCTCGGTAAAGAGCTTATTCAGTCGAGTTCTGGGTGCTACTCCAAATTAACTGGCTTGAAGGATATTCTTTAACTCAAAAACATGCTCGCCATTCATCTCCGCTTTATTTGTCTTTTTTATTAATCGCTACATGTTTTTACCAAAATCCATTAGCGAGCTGAAACAGCCAAAAAGGCACAAACAATGCGAGCGACTCATTAAGCTGGCTCCATAAACTCAGTCACAGAGATGTGCGTGCAGCTCATAAATAAGACGTTTGTCACCTCATCCACCCTTTTCCTTCTCTCCCCCTGAACGCCCCTTTTCCATCGTCAATATGTCGTCCTCTACTTTGCTCCCTTGTAGCAGGTAATAGTGTACGCTTTATGGTTAATCTTTGCGTTTAAACCTTGGTTGAAGTGATTTGGAACTGGTGTGAGTTAAATGTAATGTTTTGGGCTTAGTTGATACTTCACAGCGTCGAGGATTTATTCGCTGATTATTGTCTGACAGTTTGATTGGTAGATTTGGTTGACTGATATTTATGACATGAATGCTGTTTTTCGTAACTTTGGACCAAACGTTTAAACTCGTCTTATGCATACGCGGCAACTTGTTCTTTCAACTGCTCAATTCTAACCTCACATCAGATCTCCCATGCTTCTTGTTGAGGAATATATGATGGTAAATGGAGCTTTTTTCTCGGTCTAACTGGAGCTCATGACTCAGTTAAAAGTCTGTTGGCTGAATAGACAACTAACTTTTTTGGCTCAATCCTCAAGCTGCAAGACTTGACCAGAAGTGGGTTTGGTACTGCGCGAGTCTACGGAGTTTCCAGCCTGAATTCACACCAAGTGAGGTAAATCTTACTTAGCCTTTTGAAAAATTCGTCTTAGGTTTTATTCCATTGCCATGTTCTAGCCGCCCACAGTTGTGTGTATCATAACATTGGGAAAATAAGGAAAAGTTGCTTTGTAAAAAGGAATGCAATAATCACTTTTGGACACAAACTACTCTATAGTACATTCATTGTGTTCTTTCACAAGCAAAAGTGGGACACTTCACTCTCTTTTTGTTATTCCTACTATGTCAGCTCAAAAAGTGGTCATAAATCGTAATTGGAGTTGTCAGATTTGATTAAGCGTCACGAAAGCATGTGCATTATTTCTTTCCTCTGACTCGCATAATCATGTGGACTTTAACTGTCACAGATTCTTCGAACTTGGAAAGTTAAATTGATTTCTCCACACGCTATTGGGAGTTCACTAAGCTCGGTTTGTGCGCGGGGTAAAGAGGCCGCTCAAAAGAGGCCGGCTCACTTGCTTTACCAGTTCAATATACAGAACATAGAAGACGAGTGAGAACTTCAGTATTCAAGGGGCAAATAACTTTGGTGTAGCCCGTTTACTTTGACTTGTGAGAATTTATGGAACGCGAAATCGCTAACTCAGTTGGATTTTCAGGTTGTTTTGCTAACTGAGTTCAAAATACAGATAACTCATCAAAATCGTATGACGTTTTAAGAGGGTGTGGTAGTAAAGGTACCGCCCAAAGTAGTTTTATTTGATTGCGGTGATGTCAGATGCATCCATTCATCAAACTGGAAAAGATCCCTCAAAGTCTCTTGACAACGTAGATGGGACATTAGAGGAGCGTTTTTGGTCAAGTGGCAAAGCATCCGTATATCTCTTGAAGTGTTCAGGAACAAAACAAGGTAACGAGTGCAAAATGACCCTTTGCGGTATTTTGGTTTACGTAAGTCTTAAGAAGCAACTTCGTTGTTTTCCACGCTTGATTACTCATCCTGCCCCTTCTAGGGGTCCACTTAATCATCCTCTGGGGTCTGCGCTAACTCTGGCGTTTGTAACACCCGCTCTTTTTTACCATGTACTAGTCGGCAATATTCGGGATCTTGAGGTAACTTGAAATAGCTTCATCTTGCGGAGCATTCACAATTGGCGAATCAGCAAACGGCTACATCTACATTAAACTGCTGTAGAACTAATGCACAGAAAGACTTACATCTCATATGGTGGTTATGCCGTCTTTTGGGATTACGTGTGGAAAATTGCGATATAAAAGGCAGAAGCGGGGGTGAATGAGGCCTCTTTTGACTTCGTTAAAGGTCTGTAGGCGAATGAACCAGACAATCTAGGTGGCAGGGCATTTATACCAAATCGTCTCATTTATCAATATCAACTTGGATGAAGGTAGCTTTGGTTGTATCGGTGAGGATGCGTTCTTGAGAGAGTTCGAGAGACTGGTGCACAAGGAGACTAGCTACACTAGGCTGTTCGTGATTAGTGACCAAACCGACTGCAGTACCAGGATATGTTCATCCTTGAAACTGTAATGGATCACTTATCTGCTATCCTATCTTCCATCCAGGCATCATTAGGCAAATAGCATGGACTATTTATATTTTGACGGTTTTTTGTACATCGTTGCTACGTCTTTTTGAAGAAGCGGCAAAACATTTATGCCAATAAGGCTGGCTCATTAGCAGGTGGCCGAGCTAACTGCGATGTTCATTTGGTGGGTACCATGACCTGACTTTCATGCAGCTGTTGTTCTTTGTGAAATATCCTCTTTGACTTCGCCATTGTTCATTTGCAGAGGAATGTCTATGATGTCAATTACTTTAACTGTTCCTTTCTTTTTCTTCAACAAGGAGAGGAAGTGCTGGCTCTAATTAAAAGGAAATGATAAACAATTCGAGATAAGGGCTTAGTTGCCGTTATTGGAGTGAGTATTCACTTATCTTTTCCTTTTGCCGTAACAGCGGTCATTATTTGAAGCATTGAGAAGGTGCCTTGACTATTCTGCCTTAAATTGATTAGAAAATATTGTAAATGGGACAACTAGCGCCTGATTTTGAGGTAATGAAGTAAGAAAATTCTAGCATTCCAGTAATACCTTTCCTCACTTCATTCCCCAATTGTGTTATGTCAAGAGGCTCGCGCTACAGGAAAGTGTCAACACAACTGGATCACACCAAGACTCTAAGCAGATGTTTTAGCATAATTGTTTTCATTATATCTTTGCCAATGCCACAACGAACAAGGCATGGATACGGTGTTTTGCTAGCCGTTTGAATGGTTACAGGAAAGGTGCCGGGAACCATCTTGGTTAGGATCATCATCAATGGCAATAGGCTTGGTATTCTTCTAAGCAGTAACGCTACTTAGGTGCCTGTGTGCTCCACCACGCGATTGTTTGCATTTATGCGTGGGTATTTTCGACCTCGAGTCGTACATCTTCGTAGCGTGGTGTATTTCATAAACGCATCCAAAGCTGCCGTCACCAGTTATGTTGATAAACGTTATGAACTTGCGTGCCAAGACGTATGCTAGTTATCGGTGGATGTGCATATTCATCATTCTATTGTGTCTTGCCATTGCGGTGATTCGTAATCGTCCTTTTCAAATGTTGAAAAGTAAAAGCTGCGCCTTGATTTGAGTATCTCTTGTAACATTCTTACCCCCACATTCCGAACCCGGCGTAAAAAAGGCTTGTGACCCACTTCATCAATGGGAGAGAATTGCATGACAAATTACATTTAACACTCATTTCTTCAACAGACAATCAGCGAGTTTCACAATTTTATGAATCTGTTTCAAAGGTGAATGTCTCGGTTGACTGCACCATCATTTAGCGACACCCGCGCTGAATTGGTCGTCGTAATCGCCGTCGCCGTTTTCGTTGTCCGCAGGGATGTTCCTTAGAAAAAGATAGAATGGAAGCCCAATGGAGAATCCCGCTTTTGTACACACGTCCTCCGAAACCGCTTCTTGTGTAAATCTTAGCCCTATCCTTTTCCCCTGAGTCCCTTTGAAACAGTTCACTCCTGGTCTCTTTTATCACGCTTGTCTGTGGATGTATGTGTATGTGGAGACGAAAGTGAAATCAAATGCCTTTTTAAAATTGAACGTCTTTTGTAACGTTTTTACGAAATTTCGAGGCAATATTTTTAGCTCATTTCCGAGTGGACCTGGTGGAGCATGTTTACCATTCGTTTGGCAGCAAACAGTGTCCGAAAACGAACGTTCCAATGCTCGGCGAAGACCTATCGGTGGCCTAGGGTCTTGAACGCTGAAGTTTTCCAACGATGATTTATGACCGAATAGGTAAGCCATTGTGCTGACGTTTGTTTTTGGTCACTGTTGGATGGCTTTACTTGTGATTGCCACTTTGTAAGTGGAAGTGGGAACAAAAATACCTGATTTGTACCATTTGACTCCACTGTGATGTTTGATGGTTTGGCACTGGGGTGTAGTGCCCAGAACAATCCTTAGAACTATATCACTGTGAGGAAAGGCGTTATATCGAAATGGATGGAACAACTGGAATTGTAAGCAGCGGCTGATGACACCAAAGGGTGTAAAGCGCTCACATGGGTGGATTTCTAGTTTGGGAAATACTTTTTTGCCGCATGTTTTTTTTCCTTTCCGAGGCGGCCTTTTTTTGCTTTTTCCGTGGCCAATCAGCTGTGGAAACAGGACCGTCAATGGTCAAATGGAATCGCAAACTATAGAATTGACCAGAAACTGTAAAACATCTCACCCTTTGAAAGGGAGCATTCCTGAAGATTGTAACATGTTTTGTAGACCGATCGCCTTTTATGTCACATTTGCAGTATGCATGAAAGCAGTGTCACTTGTTTCTAACATACAGCATGCATTTCTATGGCGTCTGCACAGATTCGCTTATGCGTGACCCCGTCCCACTGGTTGACTTTGTGCGGAGAGCCGCAAGCGAATGCTATACCAAAAGATATTGTTTCTCGACTGTTTCCTGTGCTTGGTCTTTGCAGATCCGGCTATTAATATCGACTGCACACCTGTAATGCTTAAGCTGGTAAAGTTCTCATACAAGTCGGAACTCACTGTCGTGTTATATCTTGTCCTTGGGTAATTTTTTAGAATGTGCCAAGAGAAGAGAGTTTTCAGCGTTTGAAATGGCTAGATGATCATAAATATAGGGCACAGTCGATTATCCATTTAAACGAATATTTCTTCCTTAATAAGACAATGTCGCTCCCAACGTTTGAGGGGTCCTTTGGGCTGTTTTTGGCGTGGGTAGTTGAGGTGAGCTTGGGAATCATCAAATTGCTCAGAATTCGCAAAAGTGTAAGACGAGTCTACAAGAGCAGTGCTCTTACTGGGCGCTAAAGTGTTTTACACGTACTGATCATTTTAAACTCGTATGTTCTACCGAGGCGCAATAGTCCCTGGCAGAGCTACCTATGTAACATTTGAGGAAGGTACAGTAGTGGAACACCTGTTTGATATTTGAGATGATTCATCCCGAAACAGAAGTACCGCTTTTAGAAGGACTCTATGTCCCTTGATGAAACCTAGGATTTCGCTTTCATCAGACACTTACAAAAGCGATTTGTTCCGCCTACATCAGCATAGAGAACCTCTGGGGAAGGTCAACCAGGCAGTAAGGGGCTTGAGGGATTGATGATTTACTTCGCACCCAAGTTCCGTTATAAAATTTGCCATTTTTCCGGTCGTTTGCCGGATTAATTGCTAGGGATGAGGGATTTATTTTGCGCCTTTCACTTAACAATTCTCCCATCACTGGCTTCTCGACCTGAAGGCAGGAATCACCTGGACCTCTTGTGGGTTTGGTGATTGGCAGGCAAAAGTAATTACTGTCTACTTAATGAGCTACATCTCGAAGTTGACAGATACATCACGCTGACAAAGTCTTCAAGAAAATCAAACGCTGTGGCCCACTTTGATTCATCGAAGAGATAAAGCCAAAATCGCATAATGAGAGTTTCTAAATAAAAGATGTGTATTATGCTTCATCAATGGAGTTTCCTAGACGACTGATAACGTTTTGAGGATCTGACGAAGACGGTGAATGAATGACTCACCCAAATTGTTTAAGTTTCCTTTACTTAAGATAGGCAGGTCAAACCGTCATGAGGGTTCTCACTTCCATGCTATGTAGTATGGCATATCACCAAAACCACTTAGCTGATTCGTAGCGATATCAGTGAGTGATCTTTACAAAAGTTAACAGTTCCCTCATAATAGAAGCGTTATCGGAGGAAATGACGAGTAGGGATTTCAATTATACAGTTGAGAATCATGCAACTACAACCACTTGTTTGTGAATTAACGCTGCTAAAATAAACACACACACACACACACCCATGTGCAAGCGACATTCTCATCGACACCTCTATTTACTGCAATGATTCATCGATCACAAACCTTGGGAAATTAAAGGAGAAAGAAGTCATTGTACGATCGCCGGATATTGCTCTTCCATGGCAAAGCTGATATTGGGATTATCAGCAGCAGATCAAGAATGTTATTAAAGGATGCACAAGTGTCCTGCCACTTCCCATGCCACAATACGGCCTATGATTGACAACACTTGCAAAAATCACACAATGCGGTCCACTAAACAGAAGATTTTATCATTTACCGGTTCATCTGCAGCTGGTGGCGTATTGGGAGAGTGCATTCCAACACACCATTCAAGCAATCACTTCATGCAGGCAAAAGGGCACATTTAAGCTCTTATGCCTAAGTTTGCATAGTCGTTGGATCAGGTCCATCAAACATTCCTGCATAAATAGCTTTGGGTGGGTGTCAAAAGAGAAAGAATTTGAAAATTCTGCCTTTATTTGTGAATGAATGAAGTAGTAGGTGGAAGAACAAGAGAAAGAAGAAGGAAAATAACTAGAGGAAGACTAAATAGACAAAGGCCATTTCTCAGAAGTGCAGCTGGTAAATTAACGTACGTGATTTCTCTCCACTGATTCTCCAAAGAATGGTGCTACGATCACTCCAGTTGCACCTCAGGGCTTCCATAGTGAAGTGCAGAGTG